AGTAGTAGTAGTAGCAGTAGTCCTAGTAGTCGTAGTCGTAGTAGTGGTCGTATAAGTGGTAGTAGTAGTAGTAGTAGTAGCAGCAGTCGTAGTAGTAGTAGTAGAAGTAGTAGTACTAGTACTTGTAAGTGTAAGTGTAAGTAGTAGTAGCAGTAGTAGTACTAGTAGGGGTAGTAGTAGTAGTAGTAGTAGTAGTAGTAGTAGTAGTAGCAATAGTACTAGTAGTCGTAGTCGTAGTCGTAGTAGTAGTAGTAATAGTAGTAATAATAATAGTAGTAGTAGTAGTAGTGGTAGTAGTAGTAGTAGTAGTCGTCGTAGTCGTAGTCGTAGTCGTAGTCGTAGTAGTAGTAGTAGTAGTAGTCGTAGTAGTAGTAATAGTAGTAGTAGTGATAGTAGTAGTAGTAGTAGTAGTAGTAGTAGTAGTAGTAGTAGTAGTAGTAGTAGTAGCAGCAGTAGTAGTAGTAGTAGTAGTAGTAGTAGTAGTGGTAAGAGAAAGAGTCAGAGGAATAATAATGATGATAGTACTGGTAGTGGCAGTGGTAGCGGTAGCGCGATGCACACAGGACATGCGATAAGTATGTAGGGGTCGTCGGTAGCGCAGCCTGTTCTTGGGAGGTCGTCGCGCGAGGCTCTTGCGTCGGAGCATATGTCTGTTTCCCGCATTGGGAACACCTGGCAACACGCATTCAGCAGGCTGGGATGGAGGACGGAGGGGGGAAGAAGTAAGGATAGGGGAAAGGGGAAGGGAGGAGCGGCGGAGGGAGGAAGGACGGGGGGAGGGAACGGTAGGAGGGGTAGGGAAGAAAGATGAGGGACGAGGGATGAGGGAGGAGGGGCAGCCGGATGGAAAAGGGGGCTCACCATCCGCCTCCCGTTCGAGATGTATTTGCCACTTCTTCAACGACGAAGTCCCCGCGTGGCACATCTTCGCAAGCCGATCATGGATGATGTTCCCGCGCCAGCCTTCCTCCATGTTCGAACGGCCAGGTAACAATTTGCTGTTGGTTTGCAGCGTTGGGGGTGGCCAATTAAGATAAAGAAGCCGCACGGAATGGAGGCCCGAAGAAGAGGGGTTTCGGGAAGCCCTTGAACTTTCCTTACCAATGAAGCTTAAGCTCGAGACATCCTCACTGTTTGCTCATTGACCAGGTCCCCGTTCCGAACTTCCTCAAAACTCAGTCGGACAGAGGGGCACCACTGGCGGCCCGAACTCAACCAATCCCCTCTTCACCCTGTCTGTTCGTCTACATCCTTTCCACTCATACCCCCTCACCCATAGCCTGCCCTTGTTGCCCTTCCTGCCCCATCGTCATCTCGCGTGCGCATCATCGCGCTCTCCCTGCCCCAATCGTCCTGCTCCTGTTCCTCCTCCGCAGGCCACTCCCCCCACCAATCAGCTGCTCCACTCATCCCAAGCGCCAGCCAGGGAACGCCAGAGCAAAAGAATCCCGTGCAGTGCGCGCGCGAACATGCCACATGACCCGCGCAAATGTCTCGCGAGGCCTGCACCTGCGGGCAACGCGAGCAATCGCGCGGAATCGTTGCAATCTCCCGGGCCACATGGGAAATGTCCGCGAACTTCTTCCTCGCGGGGGGGGCCTGCAGGGATGGCGAGTTTCGCGCGGGGGGGGGCCGTCAACGGCGCGCAGTGCTCTCGTTGGGGCCTCTACAGAGGCGGCAGGCGGGGGCGCGGGCGCCGCCCAGCTGAGCTGGCCGTCGCTCCAGCAGAGCCGCCGGGCCTGAGCGGGGGAGGGCAGCGCCTGCGGCTGAGCGAGCCCCGCGGAAGACGGCGAGGCGAGCCGCGGGGAGCAGAGGGGTTGATGGGGCAACGACAGGGGGGGGGGGGCTGGCTTAGGGGGCGCGCGTCGACCTGGAATCGGCGATACCTCGCCGATAGATCGGCGATGGGCCTCCGATCGTGAATCCGCGCCTTCCTGGGCAGCTTGGGGCCATCGGGCCCCACTCGGCGAGGAATGGGCGATTGGGGGTCGATGCGCCCCCCCTAATTCTGCGAATCCCCGCCTCGCTGTTGCCCCTGAGGGGCGCAGGCCAGCCGAGTTGGCCGGCCGTGGCCGAAGCCACCGCCCGGTCGAGCGAGGCCCAGCGGGTCGGGGGCCGGGCCCGGCGCGGCCTATTTTTTCCGGTGTACGGACGGCCAGATCTTCCCGAGTTGCAACCGGCACTTCCCGAGGTGGCGGGGTGGCCGGTTTCCCAAGTGGAACGTCCGCTTCCCGAGCTGGGACCTTTACCGGCGGGAGCGGGGTCGAGCGCGGGGCCCCCCCGGTGGCCTCTGGGGGTCCCCGGGGCCCGCGGGGCCCGGGGAGCTGCTCGGGCCGAGGGCGGGGTATCCCCTGCGGCCCTCGACGGGCCGCACCACGGGGGCCGCCGGGGCGACTGGCTCGCCGCAGCTGCGGGCAGAGCGGCGAGAGAGATGAGCCGCGCAGCGGGCTCAGAAGCACAGGGTGGCTGGCACTCGGCGGCGACGTCGAGCGCAACCTCGTGGTCGCACCAGGCAACGACAGACCCAGAGATCCGATGTCGTGATTTTTTCCGTACGGGGTCCCCGGAAGTCTCGACCCATTCCCCAGGGCTGGCTTTTCATCCTGAATCGTTTTTCGACGGTCCCGAGGCCTGGCGAGGGCCCCTTGGGGGCGAAATTTGCGTCACAAGGTTTCGTCTTGATTTTTTCAATTCGCTGGATCTCTGGGGACGAGGCATCGGGCCAAAGGCTGGTCATGTATGCCCCAGGCGTGCCAAGGTGGCGGGGCGGGGCCCTGCGGGGGGGGGGGGGCGACGACTCCACGTTGGCAGCGGGCACCCGCGGGGTCCCCCGGTGGCCGTGCCGGGGCAGGGTGGCGCAGGGTGGCGCTGGACGGGGTCGCTCCTCCTTGGCGCCGCTCACTCTCTCCCTCTCTCTCTCTCTCCCTTTCTCTCTCGTACACACACACACACTCTCTTGCGGGCCCCAGGAGTATACACCACCACCACCACCTCCATGCCTCCTGTCTCCTCTACCGTCCTCTTCCTTTCATCCTTTCCTGGGAGAGGGAGGGCATGGAGGAAAGTGGTGGTGTATTTCCCGACCATCGTGTGTTGTTGGGTCCTCGTTTTGAAGACACGGTCCCCGCGTTCTCCTCCTACTCCCCATCCTCCCCCTCCTCCCTGCGTTTCACCCACCCAACACAGCGCTTCGTAGTCCCATAGGGAGCTCCACCGAAGGCCCCAGTGCCACCGCCCGCATGGCGCCGCCGCCCCATTTTGGCACACCCCTCGCACGCTTCGTGGCCCCATAGGGAGCCCCACCGAAGGTTCCCATGCAACCGCCCGCATGGCGCCGCCGCCCCATGTTCGCACACCCCTCGCACATTTCGTGGCCCCACAGGGAGCTCCACCGAAAGCCCCAGTGCCACCGCCCGCATGGCGCCGCCGCCCCATCTCGGAACACCCCTCACACGCTTCGTGGTCCCATAGGGAGCTCAACCGAAAACCCCAGTGCCACCACCCGCATGGCGCCGCCGCCCAATTTTGGCACAACCCTCATACGCTTCGTGGCTCCATAGGGGCCCCACCGAAAGCCCCAGTGCCACCGCCCGCATGGCGCCGCAACCCCATGTTGGCACACCCCTCACACGTTGCGTGGCCCCGTAGGGAGCTCCATCTAAGGCCCCAGTGGCGCAGCCCACATGGCGGCGCATCCCGGGAGGGAGCCAGCCTGCTCGCACGTTCTGCTCCGCGCGGCGGACGACCCGCGCGCGTCGCAGGGACCCCTTCGGGGCGAGCAGCGTGCGTCGCGGGGACTCCGCGAGGCGCTTCGCCGGCGGCCTTGGACGTGGGCGTGCATGCACAGGCAAAGAAGGAGACGAAGAACGGAAAGGAAGCGGGCGCGATCCTCGTGAGAGGCGCGCCGACATGGGCGTCGACATTAATGCACGTAAACTCACGCGCGCGCAGACTCATCCACAATCATACTCACGCGCTCTCAGTCTCTCGCACACAGACCAATCGTTTTCGCTCGCGTTGTGTGCCCCACCACGCATGTCCGCAAACCCCTCACACGGCTCGTGGCCCCATAGGGGACGCGGGCGAAGATGATATTTATACTTGCGGTATTCACAGCTGCATATGTTTGGGTCCTTCGCCAGGCTTGTTTTTGAGCCCCGTATGTTTGGCATCGTGGCAACGCGTGCTGCGGCCAATTGGAGGCGGAGCCCTACCGAGAGCGGAAGGAAAGCGGGCCGGCCCAGCTCACGCAGCGGGAGATTCCTGGTCCTCTCGGGATCCACCAAGGGGGGGTGACCCTGAGGGGGGACATGATTTCGATCCGCTGGTGCATCTAGTTGCCGCCAAGAGATGACTCTCGCATGCTCCACCTATCTGCAACTATCGGCAATTATCGGAAGCTGCCAGCGGCTGGGGGGCATCTGTTTTGGGCGGTTCGGTGCAAAAACCGATCGAACTCACACACGCACACGCACACGCACACGCACACGCACACGCACACGCACACGCACACGCACACGCACACACACACAAACACACACACACATTCACGTACACACACACACACACACACACGCACACGTGTGTTGCGTCGCGGCCACGCGCGCGGTGGAGCGTCGTCGCACCCAGACACACAGACACCCACTTCACATGCACGTCGAGATACAGGGTTCCTCCTCCTCCTTCTCCTTCGCATCCTCCTCATCGTCGGACCCTTTTCCTCCATCTCCTCGTCCTCGAATACCTGCGAAGACATCACGCGCCGCAGGCTCGTATCCTCTCACGTGAACAAGACTAGGGTGCCGGCAAACCCTGGAATTATCCGCATACGTTGACAGTCGTCTGCCCGTCTACCGCACGACCCAACCATGCAACGATACACCCAAGCTGCGATGCCAATTCCCCTGAATAGGTCCCCAAAGCGCGGTGAGAATCCGCGAGAACACGCTTTGACCATCCTTTGCGTCGTACACCAGGGCCCACTCACGAAGATACGAAGCCTCTGCGATGCGCTGCGAAGAAAACGAAAGAACCGACGCCCCACTGCAGAACGGGCGCATCCTCATGGCGGTCGCTGACAGCAAACCCGCCGCGCGCGTGCCGGACGGTGCCCCGGTCTCGTATTGGCCCTGCCAGCAGAATGGCAGAACTGAGGAAGACGGGCAGCCAATGCCACACGCCAAAAATCTGTATCCCTGTCCAGGGCTCGGCAGCAGGTGTCGGGCGGGTTGTCATGGTGGCTGACATGGACGGGGGGCCGAAGAGAAACGCCCGGAAGGGACCCTTGAGGGCCGCTTGCTTCACTCCCCATCTAGGCCACCCACCATTGCCACCCGCCCGCAGGTGCACGATGTCGATGCAACCCTTCCCGCGGCCCGATCGATAGACGGGCAAGTAGGGCAGCTCAGAATGGACTCTGCCAGTATGGTTCTGCCTTGATTCTAGACCCCCAACCCGTACTAAGAGACTTCGGCAACAGTGCTGTACCGCGCTCTCCTGTTCAATTTTTACGCCCTAGCTGAATCACAGACTCCCGCCGTCCACTAAGCGATGTTGAACCAGCTGGTATACAATTATCATGGTACGGCTTGGTGATAGGGGCAAGATTCTACTGCAACTCCCGCTCGGCCTCCTCCCTTCCCCTCCTCCCTGCCTCCCCCCTCCTCCTCCTCCTCCTCCTGCTCCGTCCTTCTCCTCCTCCTCCTGCTCCGTCCTCCTCCTCCTCCTCATCCTCCTCCTCGTCCTCCTCCTCCTACTCCTCATCCCCCCCTCCCCCCTGCTCCTCCTCCTCCTCCTCATCATCATCCCTCCTAACTCATCCTCCCTCCTCCCCCCCTCCTCTTCCTCATCCCTCCTCATGCCTTCACCCCTCCTCCTCCTTCTCCTGCCTCCACCTCCTGCCCCTTCCTCCTCCTCCGCCTCCTCCTCCTCCTCTTCCTCCTCCTCCTCCCTTCCCTGGGGGCCCCCCTCCTCCTCCTCCCTCCGCACCCAGAGTATTTTCGGGCGGCACCGTGGCCAAGCTCGTGGCAATCGGCAAGTTGAAAACATCCTGTCATGACCCAAGCGCCAAGCAGCAAGCGACCCCCCCCCCCCGGCGCCAGATCGCTGCGCGCGTCCTGTCATCGGCGGATCTGGCGTCGGCCCTCCGATGCCACGAAACGGAGCCGACGCAGGAGAAGCAGAAGGGAAGGTGGACGACGGCTGATTAAAGCAGCATGGGACGCACATGGACATACTAATACTATATGTCCTCCTTGGAGGCGCGCGTCCGACCCGAACATACAGGGCCCATCTTGTAGTATATCGTTTCCCGAGCGGTGTGGCCAGAAAGCGCCCGCCACGACGCATGTACTATAAGATTTCTCGGTGCGCGCGTCGCCCCTGGGGGGGCGACGCACATATAGTATAAGTATGTTGGGGTGTTGCCGACAGCATGGAGGGGCGGAGGAGCGGAGGACTAGAGGGCCCAGAAGCGACATCGATGCAGTCGGGGCGTGGACCCGAGGAGCGATAACTAAGGAACGGAGCCCCCTTGCTTTATCCCAAGGCATAACGCATAGGGAACGATAAAAAACAACTAACGCACAAGGAACTGTAAATAACGCATGCAAGCCTCGGGAACGACCGCTCACGGTAAGTGTTCCTTTTGAAAAGCAAGTGTTCCTTGTTTTGAAAGCCTAAGCAAGTGTAGCCTGTGCGAGCCTAAGCAATGCCCCTTTCGAAAAGTAAGTGTTCCTTACTCAAGCCGCTCACTGTAAGCCGGATCGGCGACCCACACGAATCGGGTGGGCGGACATCGGCAGCCGAGCCCGGAGAGGTAGCATCGGCGGAGATCGGCAGGCCGGTCGGCCTCCCTGAAGGAAGCCAGGATCCGAAGCGGAGTGCGAAGTCGGACTTCGAAGCGGAAGCGCAAGGCATCGACCTCGAACCAAGCCGAATCGGAGGGACCGAGACGCGCCCTGGGAGGAGGCCGATCGAGGCACCGAGCTCTCCGAACGCGTTGGTCCTTCTGGGGCCCCGTGGAGGGCTCCGAGAGGCCTCCGGGGACGGCAGGGGGCCTCCAGAGGCCTCGGAAGATCTCCAGCGACAGATCTCCAGGGGGGGGAGGGGAGGATGCTGCGAGGGAAGGGGAGGGAGGAGGGAGGAGGGGGGGGTTGGGGGGGAGGGGTGGGGTGGGCATGGGGGGGAGCGGAATGCGTTGGGGAAGGATGCTGCGACAACCCCCCAGCCTCCTGGCTTTGTCGGCTGGCCGCGGCAACCCGCTTCCTCCTCCTCCTCCTCCTCCTCCTCCTCCTCCTCCTCCTCCCTCCTCCTCCCCCTCCCCCTCCCCCTCCCCCTTCCTCCTCCTCCTCCTCCTCCTCCTCCTCCTCCTCCTCCTCCTCCTCCTCCTCTCCTCCTCCTCCTCCTCCTCCTCCTCCTCCTCCTCCTCCTCCTCCTCCTCCTCCTCCTCCCTCCTCCTCCTCCTCCTCCCTCCTCCCTCCTCCTCCTCCTCCTCCTCCTCCTCCTCCTCCTCCTCCTCCTCCTCCTCCTCCTCCTCCTCCTCCTCCTCATCTCGGACTGACCAAATCCTCGCGGACCCCTTGAGTTGGGAAACCCACGTGGGAGCAGTGAGGCATGATCCAAGAGGTACGGGTACAAGACGTAGTCGGAAGATGCTCCAAAAGACGGCAGAGACACAGCAAACAGAGAGGCTCCTTTAGTGAGGGAGGCAAGCTGACGAATAAGAATCAGCTGACGAAGGCGACGACTGAATAGGATAATTGAGGAAGCGGGTAAGACATTGAATTATAAATGATGGCAGCTCGCCACTTCAGGAACGGGTGAGACGTTGCCCCGACAGTAGGCAACTCTTTATCTCCCCGAAGAGCAAACAGGCACAACTCTGCACACGTGCAGGACCGACGACAAAGCTCGACACTGCGGCCTGGACCACTGACAGAGAAAGGGCGGCACTAAAACCAGAACGGTCTGCCTACATTCCGCCCCCTTCTCCGTCGTTCGCCGCCCTCGCACTTCCGTGCCCTCTCCGCCAGACCCTTTCTCATTCACCCGTCTGGCACGTATCCTCTTCCCTCTGGGCCAGCCGCGAGAAGTGCGCAATGCTGGGCTATCTTCGCTCTCCGGGGTCGGTTCGGTCGGTTCGCGGAAGAATAATCATATCCGAAGGACCCCCCCCAAACAGGGAGAACACCGAGTCCTCGACCCTCGAAACTCGTCCCCCGACGTCGACGGCTTGAACTGACCGGAAAGAAGACAGGGGGGGGACGGGGAGGCAGGCAAAAACATGAGGACGATGAGGAGAATGACGGGGACGGCGATGACGAGGAACGTGCGAAGGCGGAGGAGGAAAGGACGGAGGAGGAGGAGGAGTAGGAGGGGAAAAACACCATTTGTGCCCACTCTCCCCCACAAACCTCCGCCATCAACCGCGAGATCCTTGCCTGTCCCGTGCCTGCCGTCCCACGCCCTCCCCGTTCCACCCATCAAGGTGTGTGCGTGTGCGTGTGCGTGTGCGTGTGTGCGTGTGTGCGTGTGTGCGTGTGAGCGTGTGTGCGTGTGTGCGTGTGTGTGTGCGTGTGTGTGGGGGTGGGTTTGCGTGTGTGCAGTTATGTTTGTGTTTGTGTTTGTGCTTGTATGTGTGTTTGTGCTTGTGTTTGTGTTTGTGTTTGTGTTGGTGTTGGTGTTTGTGTGTGTTTGTGTTTGTGTGTGTGGTTGTGCTGTTGTTGTGTGTTTGTGTGTGTGCGTGTGTGTGCTTGTGTTTGTGCTTGTGTTTGTAAGTTTGTATGTGTACGTGTATGTGTATGTGTATGTGTATGCGTTTGTGTTTGTGTTCGTGTTTGTGTTTTGTGCTGGTGTTTGTGTTTGTGTTCGTGTTTGTGTGTATGTGTTTGTGTTGGTGTTGGTGTTGGTGTGTTTGTGTGTGTGCTTATGTTTGTGTTTCTGTTTGTGTGTGTGTTGTGCGCATGTTGTGTGTTGTGTGTGTGTTTTGTGTGTAGTTTGTGTTGTGTTGTGTTGTGTTGTGTTATGTTGTGTGTGTGGTGCGTGTGTGCGCGTGGGTGTGTGGGTGTGTGGGTACGTGTTGTGTGTTGTGTGTGTGCGTTGTGTGTATGTATGTGTGTTGGAGGTCTGCGCTGGATGAATGGCCTCCGTGAGGATTGGCCAGGGGCGGGGGAGAATCAAGACCAAGTCCGCCCAACTCCTGCCAACTCCTCCTCCTCCTCCTCCTCCCTCCTCCTCCCTCCTCCTCCTCCTCCTCCTCCTCCTCCTCCTCCTCCTCCTCCTCCTCCTCCTCCTCCTCGCCTCCTCCTCCTCCTCCTCCTCCTCCTCCTCCTCCCTCCTCCCCCCCTCCTCCTCCTCCTCCTCCTCCTCCTCCTCCTCCTCCTCATCCTCCGCTTCGTCCTGGTGCAGTTGTGTCACCTCGGATTTGCTCTTCACTCGGCGGTGGACAAACCTCCCTTCAGTAAACCTCCCCATTAAGGAAAACGGCCTTGGACCGAAACCGACGGACCTGGACCCGCACAAATGACGGCCGCGACGCCCTCCCGCGAACCGAAAACGGCCAATTCACTAATCGACGTGTCAGGGTAGGAGGTCTGTCCACCCCCGATTCACTGCCCTGGGCCCCAGAAGCGGCCCCTTAAGAGACCGAATTAAGGTAGACCGTCTTCTCGAGCCCACAACCCCGAGCCTCCCCCGCCCGCCTGCTGGCCGGAACCCGTGCTGGGCCACCTCAGACCCCCAGCCGACTCGTCCGACTCCAGACTCACCCCCTCTCACCCCCTCTCGCCCCCAGGACAGCCCAAAATCGAATCGACAGGTCGGACCGGCGATCGAACTGAATCGGCTCGGCGAAAATCGGCAGCCGAGTCGGGAAAAGCCGAACAGGCGGAAATCGGCAGGCTTGTAGGCCTCCATCGAGAAAAATCTGATGGGCCTGCTTTCCACCACCACCACCACCATAAGTTGGATGGGGGAAGGGAGGAGGAGGAGGAGGAGGAGGAGGAGGAGGAGGAGGAGGACCCCCTCCCCCTCCAACTTATGGTGGTGGTGGTGGTGGAAAACAGGCCCATCAAAATCGGAATCCGCAGTCGAATCGAAATGGAATCGGGGGCCCGAATTGAGTCGAAGCGGAGGGATCGAACTGAGCCCCGCCCCTCGCGCCCCCGCGCGAGGGCCCCGGTGGAGCCCCTAGGGGCGAGCCCCTGGTCTCCCCTGCGCGCGTGGGCTGGCCCAGCCGCGCGCTCGCTCTCCCTCGACCGCCTGCGCCAAAAAAAGTGTGAAGTGATGGGCCTGTTTTCCACCACCACCACCATGAGTTGGAGGGGGGAAGGAGGTGGAGGAGGAGGAGGAGGAGGAGGAGGAGGAGGAGGAGGAGGGAGGAGGAGAAAGATGAGGAGGAGGATGAGGATGAGGAGAGGAGGAAGAGGAAGATGATGATGAGGAGGCGAAGGAGGAGGAGAGGGTGGAGGACGAGGAGGAGGAGGAGGTGGAGGAGGAGGAGGGCCCTCTCCCCCTCCTACTTATGGTGGTGGTGGAAAAGAGGCCCATCGTGCAGATTGGCTCGGCAGGGTTGCAGGGGCGGGGGCCCAGCGCAGATCCAAAAGACCCACTTGGACCATCGGAAAATTATGTATGTTCATGCCGTGCAGATGTCTTCCTTTGTTGAGGGGTTGGTCCGCACCGCCGCCAGGGTACCCATGACGGTCTGAGGGGAACTTGGTCCTCAGCCTCAAGCGCTCCGCGACCTCCCCGTGGAAAACGGTCTTTGGCAAGATCTTTGTTCAGTCGAACTCGAAAACTCGAATGGCATGGAGCTGTTGGGTTGGTCGATCCGACTCCTGGAGAGCTGCTCGGGAGCGGCCAAGAGGGGGGTGTCCAAGAGGGGGGGGTGCAAATCATGACTGGCGGCATGTGCGCGGCCCAGCGGGGGGGCCAGGGACGTAATGAAACAAGAAAAGGCGCCATGAGAGCTGGGGAAATATCACGGCCCCCGCCATGATATCCACCCCCCCCTACTCCAGATTCTCGTAATAAAAGGGAGGGGGTCTCAACCCTCCCAGACGAGAAGTTTTAGACCCCCCCCCCCGTGGGAGAACCTTCCATAACATCGTCCCCAGACCCCCCCAGGCCCTCCAAGATAGCCTGGAAGAGACCCCCCCCCGAAATGAGACCCCCCTCCCTTTGTTGCGAAATCTGGAGTAGTCATCACCCCCCTCTCTGCCGCCCCCGAGAGCTGCTCCTGCAGCGCACGCGTGCTGCCAACCTCGCTAAAGCCGGCTCGCTCCCTGCCCTGTCGGCCGCAGGCGCCCGACCCTGCCCGTGTGATCCTTTTTGACCTCGCCCTGCGTCGGGTGACATGCCACCATCCTCCGATACTCCAGGTTTCGTAATAAAGGGAGGGGGGTTTCATTTCGTGGGGGGGGGTCTCTTCCAGGCTATCTTGGAGGGCCTGGGGGGGTCTGGGGACGATGTTTGGGAGGGTTCTCCCACGGGGGAGGTCTGAAATGGCTTGTCTTGGAGGGTCCAAACCCCCTCCCTTTTATTACGAAATCTGGAGTACCATGCCCAACTACGGGCCCATCAGCAGATCTCCTACAGTCAAAAACCCTACTAAGGACGCGCGGTAAGGGCGCAAGACCCTTGGAAGCCGAAGTTGGGATTTGGGGGGCGGCGGACGACGAAAACCACAAGGACGCAAGGGCAAGGAAGAGCAAGGACGCAAGGGTACCCTGAGCAAAGTCGCGCGTCCTTATTAGGGTTGACTGTACACACTCCCGGTGTCCTCTCTACCTTTATCATCGGTGCCGCTTCGTCCTCCGCCGCCAACCCCACTCGCAACAAGCTTGGTCGGCACCACAAAGTGCGCCCTGCGCATGAGAACCGAGCATCGCTCCACACCTCACGTCGCCTCCGCATGAGATGGGACCCGCGGCGCCCTGTGAACACATAGGGGCGGCCCCAAGCACAGGTTCTGTCAGCACGGCTCTCCTGAAGCCCATCATGCCGCAGGAGTTCTGTTGGCACACGTGGAAACGCATCCCTTCTCACTCTTGCAGTCAAAGCTGATGAGACAGGTGCGCGATTAGGATGCACCGTGTTGAAGCTTTTCGAGCGGGGCTGGCCCTCGAATTGGGTGAAGGATGGACAGGAGAGGCAAGGATGAAAAGGGTGCTGTTGGAAGGTTATCCATCCTTCCATCGGCTTCGACTGCGCCCTACACCTCGCGCTCGTTCCCTCAACATCCTCCGCCCCTTGCCGTCGCTCGGACGTCCATTTCCTGTGCATGTTCGGTGTCGTGCGTGTTTTTTTTCCGCTCGATGATCCAGGATGTTCCTCAAGGGTCCTCGCCGAGAAACAAATACACCGGTCCGAACGATGCCAGGGCCCTCTCACTCCTGCCCTGCCCTCGCCGCCCTCCTCCCCCCCCCGACCTGCACGGCCCGTCGCCGAAACAAAAAATCAGCGCGTCTGCCCCGCTCGTGGGGGGACGAACGAGATACTCGCTGGCTGTCTCCAGCAGTGGCGCGCGCACATGCCTCCACAAGAGGCTTGGCAGCGAACGAGAATGGGGCACTGTTGCCAGACTGGGTACGTAACGTACTGGCGAGCTCGGTCGCAGACACGAGCAACAGGCTACAAACTGGGCATGCTGTCAGGCGATGAATGAGACAGGGATGGATTGGGTAAAAGTTGAACCTGTGCTGAGCACTGCACGCCTACATGCGCAGTCTAACACGATGCAGTGTATGGCAGCACAAGGCCATCCAGTAAACATCATGGCACAGCGTAGCAGAGCATCTCATAGCACCGCAAGCAAATCATGGCACAGCAGCATCGCGTGGCATGTGCTTGGCCCAGAGAGGGAGATAGGGCCCCGAGAGATTTCCAAGCGGGCCTGACAGGCTGTCAAGAGGGCCCCAGGAGGGTACCGAATGCTGCCAAGATCGCCCAGAGCCTCTGTGGCTGACTCTTGGCTTCTGCGATCCTCTGTGCTGCCAAAGAGACACCACGAAAAGGCTCCGCGGCACCCCTACGGGATACCCCTCGCCCTGCCGCTACCAGAGGAGATACGAGAGGGGAACGTGCAGGCGATCGGGCGGGTCCCCTCCTTTTTTGTCCCCTATTTGCCTCTGTGCTTCCCTGGTCAACACTATCCGCCTAAAGAGCTGCTTCTTCATTGCTATCACTCGGCGCCGCGGTGGTCACCGCTCGTCGGCGTACAGAAATGAAGGGGCCCAAGGACACACAACTAAATACGCACAAATTTCAAGATTTGCCATAGTTGTCCATATGTTCTGGGTTTTCGTCTTCCCCCCACGTCCTATGTTTCCCCTATATTTTCCTCGGAGTCGACGATTAATTGTGACTGTGTGTTTCTTGTCCCTTCCTGAAGAAAGCCCTCGCGCCCGCTTGGAAGCTGTGTCTGTCTTCGGAGAAGGCTGAGAGACCTTCTCGGAAGGCCCGAGGCTTAGGTCGGGCGTGTCTCCCCACAAGCAGATCTGGGAGAATAAATAACAACTGTTCAAAAACACGCTCAAACATACCCAACAAATGCTCAACAAATCGTCCCCAAACTAATATATCTACTATTTTTGGATATTCCTCCCGTAGAGGGCCAGGCCCGACTCAACCCGAGGCTTTCCGAGCCTTCTCAGAAGGTCCGCCCCGTCCTGAAGAAAGCCCTCGCGCCTTCTTGGATGCCATGACTGTCTTCGGAGAAGGCTTAGAAACCTTTCAGGGGGACGTAAGACCCGGGTACAGTGGACTCGGAAATCTCCGACGAGGTCGTCAAAAAAATGACGAGGCCGAGCCTGCATTTTGACGAGGCCTCCCGCTGCAGACATCCCACGAAACTCCTCCTCGTCAAAATCCGAGGCGCGGTCGTCAAAAAACGATGGCGAACCCGAGTCCTGGCAAACCCGGGTATTACGCTCCCCCGAACCTTATCAGAAGGCCCGAGGCTTTCCAGGCCCCCGAGGGTTAGACGCCTTCTCAGAGGGCCCGAGGCTTTCCAGGCCTTCTCAGAAGGCCCTGCCCCCTCGGCGTCCCCGCCCTGGGCTCGCCGCGGACCTGCCCCCCCTTCCCGGGGTGACGCAGGGCTCGACGCCGGCGGGGTTTGGGAACGGCTACAAACACCTACGGACAGCAGCTCGCACTGATACCGTCGGGCCGCTGAAAGAAGTAACGCTGCATGAGGAACGAAGCCCCTTCTCGGCCTTGTCAGCGCCTCCGTGCCCGAGGAGGGCAAGAGGAACAGCACTGGAGGAACCTAAGGAACATAGAGCCCCTTCGGAAACTGTTCCATATTTCAGCGTCTTGACTGTACGCACGTTGGGATCTGCCAGGAATGGCTAGGCAGCTGAGGAACTCCCACCTACAACCGCCATATCGCAAGCACAACGTTATGCCGCCATGCCTCACCAGCAGGCTGCCTGTAGGCGCCACAGGTGGCTTGCGAGCACCGCCACATGCCCGAGAGCACATCGATGTGCCTGTGAGAGCGCTGCAAGAACCTGCGCGCAACACACTGCACCTGACAACAACACGAAGGCGAGTGCGAGCACTACGTCAGCCTGCGAGCACCACACTGTGCTTGCGAGCACCACAGCGCGCCTCAGAACACTAACGTGTCCTTGCGACCTCCATGGACGGTGAGGGAAGCCGGACCCTGCTAGTACCATAATGCGAGCGCGAAAACCACAGGGACCACGCGCATGCGAGCACAACAACATAACCTGCGAGAGCGCCAGCAATACGCGTGAAAACATCACAGCATGTTTCGAAAGCCACGACGAGCTTGAGAACATCACACTGTGCCTGAGAGCGCAACCAGGAGCTCGGAACATAACGAGGAGGTGGAGGTGGAAACAGCATCAGCATCACCAACAACCACGACAACAGCAACAACAACAGCAACAACAACACCAACAACAGCACCAACAAACAACACCAGCAGCAACACCAACAACAACGACCACAACAACACACAGCAGCACCAACAACAACAGCAACAACACGAACAACGGCCACAGCACCAACAACCACAACAGCAACGATAACAACAACAATCATGTTCAGACTGTTCGCTCATACCTGCTCGAATGTCATTCAACGTGTCATTCCCCAAACCCTCGGTACCCGCCTTCTTCGTCTTCGATCGTACCCCTTAGGGGGGTATACCCCTCTTCACTGCAAGCCGGGCCCCGGCAAGCGGCGGGTCGGCCGCGGACCGTCTGCCTGGCCAGCGGCATCGCTGATCGGCGGCAACCCGACCCCAAGAGGGACGGACAGGGGACCGACGACGACGACGACGACGACGGCGACGGCGACGGCGACGGCGACGACGAGCGAAAGCGAGAGCGAGAGCGACAGCGGGGCCACGACGGGCAGGAAGGGGGCCACGAAGGGCGACAGCGGGGCCACGAAGAGCATGCGTATGGGGCCACGAAGGGCAGAGAATGCGGGACCACAGAGAGCAACGACGGGGCCGCGAAGGGGTAGCAGCGGGGTCACGTAGGACAGCGGAGGGGCCACAATAACGAGCGACAGCGGGGCCACGAAGGGCATACGTATACGGGGCCACGACAGGCGCGAACGAGCGGGGGCCACGAAGGGCCTACGAAAATGGAGCCGCAGAGGGCAGGGACGGGGCCACTGAGGGCAGCAACGGGGCCACGACGGGCAGCGAGGGGCCCGCGAAGGGCGACAGCGGGGACACGAAGCGTATGCATATGGGGCCACGACAGGTGCGAACGAGCGGGGGCCACGAAGGGCATACATATACGGGGCGACGAAGGGCAGCGAGGGGAACACGAAGGGCTGCAACGGGGCCACGAAATGCAGCGAGGAGGCCACGAAAGAGTGCAACGGGTCCGCGAAGGGCAGCGAGGGGGCCACGAAGGGCTGCAACGGGGCCACGAAGGGCAGCAAGGGGGGCCACAAAGGGCTGCACCGGGTCCACGAAGGGCAGCGAGGGGGCCACGAAGGGCTGCAAAGACGCCACGAAGGGCAGCGAGGGGGCCACGAAGGGCAGCGAGTGGTCCACGAAGCGCAGCGAGGGGGCCACGAAGGGCGGCAACGTGTCCACGAAGGGCAGCGAGGGGGCCACGAAGGGCTGCAGCAGGGCTACGAAGGGCAGCGATATCCCGATTCCTGAGCTGTGAGGGAGTCCTAAGCGTAAGCGCGACTCCTGGGTGCCTGAGTGTTGGGAGCCCGGCGCTTGAGTAAATTGTAGGGAATTCCAACTCAAGAGCGCGATTGAGAACATCGCAAGCAAGTCTCCAGCGAGAGCGCGACCCCAGAGCGCCGAGAGAGCGATTCCTGAATCAACTAAGGAAGTCCCAAGCGAGAGCGCGATTCCCGAGTAAAATGCGAGGAAGTCTCAGGCGGGAGCGGTGGTCCTGGCTAAATTGTGAGGCAGTCTCTGGCGGGAGCCGTTGATATTGGAATCCAGGGGCCAAGGGCGCAGTTTGAGCCGACTGGCTTTCACTGATGAAAAAAGTGTGAGCCCCAGGGGAAGCAATTCAATTAAAAAACACAGTGGTCACTGGAAGGGGGGATCAACACTAAGTATTCTTCAGTAACGAGAGCTCAACAATGCATGGCGAGAATTACCCTGTGACGTACCCAACCCTTTCTATACATGTGGCGATTCTACCCAGGACCACTCAATGCTGACTGGCATTCTGAAGGACCCGCAGTGCGCAGAAAGATCACCCAACAATGCTTTCAAAAGAGCGCAACAAGAGGTCCCGTGGTGATCCGCTTATGACGTACCTCCGCTGGGCCTCCCAGGAGCCCCCCGGGGGCGGCGAGGTCCATTGGTGATCCGCGTATGACGTACCTCGGCTGGGCCTCCCAGGAGCCCACGAAAATGGCGACAATTGCGCAACCCCCACGGTACCTCCGCTGGGCCTCCCAAGAGCCCGCGAATGTAGCGACAATTGCGCAGATCGCAGCCGAAGTCCCGTGGTGATCCGCGTATGACGTACCTCCGCTGGGCCTCTCAGGAGCCCACCAAAGTGGCGACAGTTGAGCAGATCGCAAGCCCCCCAGGGGGCGGCGAGGTACCGAGGTGATCCGCGTAGGACCCACCTCCGCTGGGCCTCCCCGGAGCCCACGAAAGTGGCGGCAATTGCGCAGATCGCAAGCCCACCCAGGGGGCGGCGAGGTACCGAGGTGATCCGCGTGGGACGCACCTCAGCTGGGCCTCCCAGGAACCCACGAAAGTGACGGCACTTGCGCAGATCGCAAGCCCCCCAGGGGGCGGCGAGGTACCGAGGTGATCCGCGTGGGACGCACCTCAGCTGGGCCTGCCAAGAGCCCACGAACGTGGCGACGGTTGAGCAGATCGCAAACCCCCAGGGGGCGGCGAGGTACCGAGGTGATCCGCGTGGGACCCACCTCAGCTGGGCGTCCCAGGAGCCCACGAACGTGGCGACAGTTGCGCAGATCGCAAGCCCCCCAGGGGGCGGCGAGGTACCGAGGTGATCCGCGTGGGACCCACCTCCGCCGGGCCTCCCAGGAGCCCACGAAAAGGGTGACAGTTGCGCGATCGCAGCCCTTCAGGGCCCCAGGAGGCGGCGAAGTACCGAGGTGATCCGCGTAGGACCCACCTCCGCTGGGCCTCCCAGGAGCCCACGAAATGGGTGACAGTTGCGCGGACCGCGAGCCCCTAGGGGGCGGCGAGGTACCGAGGTGATCTGCGTATGACGTACCTCCGTTGGGCCTCCCAGGAGCCCACGAAAGTGGCGGCAATTGCGCAGATCGCAGCCCCACAAGGGGCGGCGAGGTACCGAGGTGATCCGCGTGGGACCCACCTCCGCTGGGCCTCCAGGGTCCAACGAAATTGGCGAACGTTGCGCAAATCGTAGCCCCCCAGGGGGCGGCGAGGTGCCGAGGTGATCCGCGTGGGACCCACTTGCGCTGGGCCTGCCAAGAGCCCACGAACGTGGCGACAGTTGCGCAGATCACAACCCCCCAGCAGGCGCCGAGGTACCGAGGTGATCCGCGTGGGACCCACCTCCGCTGGGCCTCTCAGGAGCCCACGAAAGTGGCGACAGTTGTGCAGATCGCCGCAGCCCAACGTCACGAGAGAAGAGGAGAGGGAAACACAGGAAACGGGAGAGAAGGAGGAGGGGAGGCGAGGGGGAGGAAAAGGAAGGAAGGAAGGACGTGGCGACCACACTGCTCTTTTCAAAGCAACTACACAACGCAGGAGGGTTGGAAAGAACAATGATACACACAACGAATCCGGAACGGCGAGGCGCATGGTGGTGGCAAAAAACCTTCATTCACGAGAAATAGAACCGGCGGAGTCAAACGGGTGCACTATGTTGGCATTGATCGAGGGTGCTAGATAAGGAGCAAAGTTGCGGGGAACAATGAACATGTGATAACGCACGGTTAGACGCGATACCGAAACCAAAGACATGCATCAATCAAACACGAAATTTCACAACTATGAGGGGGGGAACGAAAATAGGCAGGGAGAGAAACATACGGATGAATACATCCGCAACCGCGCTCTGCCGAGGGTCGTGTGTTGGGCCCCTCATTGATGCTCCATCAATTCTACGTATTGTGTAACGACTTTCCCCACATCCACCTCCTCCTCCTCCTCCTCCTCCTCCACCTCCTCCTCCTCTCTTCTCATACGGGCGATGCACTGCCCATTGCGCGCGTTCCACCTCCAGTTACGCTCCCCGCGACAGGCAAATCCCACTACACGAGCCCAGCATCTTGGTTACACTTCCCACCTTGGCGAATACAAATCAATGCCGCCTCCCTCATCCTCGCGCGCCCACTCCCCACTCCATCCCGGGGCTATGCCATCCTCCGAAGAAGCCCTGACAGTCTGCGACAGGCATCGGGAAACATTCCTATGTGTGATGGTTTGCGCCTTTTTCACTTCACCAATCTCACCAACGCAATGCCGACTGACCCTCCAAGGACCACACCGGGCGAAACACTGGAACATCGGAGTATTGATTCCTTTTCGTACCCTTCTCACATAACCCAGCCTCGACACAACCCCCATGTCTGGTCAGGGTCGGCGGAAACCACCGAGAAAAAAAACAACAACAACAACAAAAAAAAACCTCTGCAATGACAGTGTTTCCGATACCTGCTGCGGTCTGGCGACCAAATCCCACCAGCCCTCTGGGCGACAGGTCGCCAAACGAAGGTATCTTTCCTTTTCCACGACCCCTTTCCCTTCGGGGGGGGGAGCCCTCCCCCTCCCCTCCCTTTGTTTTTTTTGGGGAGGCGGCCCCATGTGTCAGAGGGTCCTTTTTTCGGCCCCTGAAGGGCCACTTTTTTACACCCGTCACGAGGATCGTGGCCCCTTGGGGGGGCGTGGCCCCTTGGGGGGGCACCTCCCCCCCCCCCCCCCCCATATTTAGGACCCCCTTCCATTGACCGACCGCCTCCAAGATGGCCCCTAAAGGCCCCCCCGAGGCTCCCAAGCTGCCCCCAAGAGGGCCCCAACAGCCCCCCACGAGGCCCCACGAGGCCTCCGAGACGCACCCGAAAAGGCACCCAGGAGGCCCCCGAGCGGCCTCGGGGAGCCCAAGATGACTTCCAAGATGGCTCAAGATAGCCAGAGCTGGCTCAATCAACGTGGGTCACAAGATGCTCCACGATGGCCCCGACGCGCCGTCCAGGCCGGCCCACCTCGCTGTTTGACTATGCGTGCGTTTCTTCCTCTCTCTCCCCGTCAGCCCGCATGGGCATCGTTTCTGGATGGGCTGGCCGGGGTACTTTGTTGGTCGCGACCGCGAGCGGGCACCCGCGTGGCGTCGGAAAGGTCGCGCTACGAGCGGAGGCCCGGAGGTCACAGCGCAACTGTCGCCGGCCAGGCGCGGGGAAGAAGGGGCCACTACACAACGCAGCGGCTGCGCAAGAGCGGCGAAAACGAGGCGGAGCGGGAGAGAGCGACGCAAACCAAGACGAGGAGACCAGAATAACGACGAGCGGAGCAAGAGAGAGAGAAAGAAAGA